TGAATTGGTGAGGCGTATGGAGGAACGTGAACCGAACCTGGTGGCGAACACAACGCACAGTATCAGTCGGCGTGGTGTACGGAGATCTGAACTGGATGATGTTGAGCTGAGAAATATTTTGGGTGATTTGTTACCATTGGTACGGATCGATTATATTCTCCCACCGTTTCATCAGGTTTGCCTTCAGTAATCACTCTTCTAATTTTGTTTCGTGTGAGATTCCGCGCTTATTTTCAGCTATTTTAGGTTACTTTCTGATGATTCGTTATTTGATAGTTTATGTTAATTTTAAGATTTTATCACGCAGAATTTTGTCAATTTTAGAGTTTGAACAGCGCCTATAAACGCGGTCTGCTGGATCGTGCACCGAATTCGGATCTGCTGGGGCAACGATACCCGGATAGCCGATCACCAGACGTGAATCCGGATGCACACTGGTTTGATCATGGTGTACCGAGGCGACATCCGGCTGGACCAAGGCTTCTGTTGCCTTACATCTCGGTAAGATTTTAATTTTTAAATTATCATTGCTTTATATCTAACTCATGTAAGAGTGAATCAGTGAAAGAATTTTTAATTTTATTGGTTTCAGGAAACTCATAATCAGCTGCGCCGTATGTGCGGCAATGGTGCAGACGTTCTGGCGGACTATAGACGGGGTGTGATGGGTGAACAAGAGCACCGTACGCGGTTTGTATCGAACGGTTTGTGGGGACACGTCGTAAACCTCACTCCTGAGGTACTTTCTGAAGCCACGAGAACATTGGTGAGTCTTTTGGTTGTCATTATCACTGCGATCAATTCGATCGTTTTTTACATCTTTCTGTTCTGTTTCGTTTTTCACTGGTCATGAATTGTAGGAGCTTTAATGTATGCTTCCATTAGCCTGTCCTGGTCACTTCATAACTAGAATGAGTTCTTGTGAAATTTTTTCAATGCGTAGATCTCGTGTAACCAAGGAGGTGAAATATTTATTGTGTAACGTCGGTGGTTTTCTAGGTTGAGAAACGAATCAATGAAACGTTGCGGAGTGATAACTTGGTCAGGAAAGCATTTTGTTGTGGTTGCGCACATCATCGTCATATGGCTATAGAGCAGGTTTGTTTAGGGATGCTCTCGATTGATTTACAGTTAGTTGTGTTTACTTTCAAACTGTCATCTATTTTTTGTTTTTTTCTTCATGAAGAAAACAACAAAATTTTGAGTCACTGTTGGATGTATTTAGCTCGAATCCGTTTTGATTAACATATAGAATGAGTTGGTTCTTCTGAAGTAATTTTCGATGATTCTAGGTAAGATTGCGGATTCTGCGAGAACTGGGTCTGAACGACTCATGTATGGACGTTATTCTGCCCGTAGCGACAAGCTCAACTCAGACAGGTNAGATGATTTGAGTTTTGATGATTCGAATCGATGAAAAGATCCAAATGCTTGAAATGTTTTTTGCTCATTGGTTATGTGTTTTGAGAAATCTATGAGTGGAATGCCTAAAAGAAAGATTGCATTGCAGATAATGAAAGTTTGAGAGATTTTCGCCCGGATTTGCTACGCACTGAGTCGATGATATGAGAGCATAGTGGAGATTTGGAAACAGATCCGACTAGAATAGAGGAAAGTTTCCGCCTTTTTAACTATTTTATTGGATGGAACCTATTTTGAGTTTATTCACTGTACGTGTCGTTTCATTACGGATATTGTGTCATATTATGTACGATAGATTATTTTTTAATGATTATGTTTAATGTACTGAATGATAGTTCTGTTCAGACTAAAATTTTGTTTTATTGCGTTGTTGTATTTTGTTAGTGGTTCGCAATATGTACCACATGAATTGGTGTGTCATTTGTATTATATTAGCATTTTGTAACCATTCATCTGCAAATGANGAAGAAGAAGAAGAATCACTGGTCTGGTGTAGTCATAGATAATTGTTCTTGTATTGTATATGTGCAACGTTATTGTAATTGCTATTACCAGTCTAATTTTTATTCCAACGTTATTTTAGTTATTTAATTTTTCAGAATTGTAATTTTTGCATTCACAATTGTAATTTTGATTAACATCATTGATTTGTACAATATTTCTGCAGGTATGTAGGTATTTTTCCATACGTCTCATTCTTATTCTGTTGACCTTATTTTTCTTAAGTACAAACATATTCATTGGAATGTGATGTGATGATTGAATGATTTGTAGAGTTGAATTTTTATTAGTTTGTATTATTTTTTCAGAGAATATTCACATTGTACATATTTATAACTTAATATGGTTGAATTCATTTATATGATGGTGACTATATTTTTTTGGTTTTTAAAAAAATAAAATTCCTTCCCCTATTCAAGATATAATCCTCGTTTCTTCACATTTTCACATATTATACTCAGAGAACAGGTTCGTAGTCGGCGATAAGTTAGTGAGGTAGCGGTTGGGATAACTCAATATAAGAGTGGTAATAAGCAAACGAAGAATTGACTCGATGACTTGTTTTGATGATAATTGACTCGGTATTTTGACAAATGATAATAAACGAAGAATCAGACAGAGTTGTTTTGCATTGAGGAAGTATTGAGGAAAATTATTGAAATTGAAAAGCAGATCGGACTTTATTTGTATTTATGGAGCAAACTGCGATCGTTCACCATCTTTGGAGTATAATGAACTGATTGATCAAATAATGTAATGGTGGTTTTTAGAAGTACATACTGTTAAATGGGACATCATTTCGATAGATTGATGTTTTAGCTCACATCGTTTGCGACGCATAGTAAGCGTGAAACCTAGTTTGGAAAAGAGAATCTTTTATAGAGGTTCATGAGCAGAGGTAGTATTGAAAATGAATGGAAATGTAATGTTGGTCGATGTAGATGCAGAAATATCGTCTGTGCTGATGTGAAGAGTTTAATTTAATGAGAGGAGTGTCCTAATTGAATATTCTCAATTAAGTATAATAATAACACAAGCATAAACACTGGCATGAAGTTTAAGGCTCTCGTCGGTCGCAATGCTGCTGATATATTGTTCGTCTAATAGCAATGAAGAGAGCCCACAAACAATTTCGTATTCATTCTGAATTAATTATTTTTGCTCTCAGCCAATACATTTCATCCACTTCGTTTCATAAACCAGCATCACATATTAGCTTTCCATGTCACAATTGCATTGCAACGTTTTGCGTGAGGCTTACGTCCAATTACATATGTGACGATTCAGGCTAGATCTGAAGTATAGATGGCTTGTTGAATACCTAAAGTCTCTAAGTGATGCCGGTTATAGCCTTCAGATGTCCGAACTGAAATTCCGTAACAAAACTTGCATCAGAAACCAGAGATTAGTCTCATTCAATCGTGATCTGTTACACTATTTGATGCTATGAGCACTTGGAAGGAATATCTATGGTGATCAATGAATTGTTATTTACGTTATTGTAAATCGTTAGTTAGCGAGCGGGCGATTTTATCAGTTCTATTAGATCATTTAGAAGAAGTGAGGTGAAAATTATGCTCGTATGAAACTCATTCATTAGTTAGTCTCATTTTTGCAGTGGTTTTGTTAGGAGTGTTTTGTTGGTGTGTTCGTTTGCATAATATGAGTGGCGATTATTTAATTTTCGATATTGTCTGAAATTTATCTAATTGCTTGTACGAGAATTCAAACTCTTAGTTTTCCGATGTACTCTACAGAATCAGGCCTGCTCCTTTTTCACTCACAATTCGACTCATTCTTATTGCTGGCTCTAGCTTATTATCTTTGATTATTCACTCTATTTGGGTTCCAAATAACGTTGTACTTATGTGTTCATCGTAACATTTACAGCAATCGCAATTTCAACCAAAACTATTGCCGTCCATTAGGAAGTAGTCTTTATGTTCATTCAAGCTTGATTCCTCGCGTTCTTTGCATAAATTTGTGTTTTCCTGATTGATTTCGTTGTCATTTTTACAAAACTCAATCTCTGGTCATGATTCAAAGTTATCGATTCTTCGTCGTTGTATTATTCTCGCACGCCATATAACTGATCATTTTTTGTGATATCACTTCGGTGAGAAAATTTGCTCAATTAGTCACCAAATGAATCTGCACTCGATGCAAAGTGACATTCCATTCCACATTCAATGTCTTGATTTCACGTCATCTTTCTAATTTTTTTGACAACTGCTCTACTGCCTCACTTACCTAATTCCTGTCGTTAGGAAACAATTTGATTCTAGTCGTTCGTTCATTCCCTATATAGAATTAATTCGCGTCCGACGTTTCAGCCTATGGGGAAGTGTATATGAACGAAGTCGCTTTGTAAAGTGAACCATGAATACAACGATCCACTTCATACAAATTGAGTCGATAGCTAAAATTATCACTTTTCAATAAGAATCAGCCCATATTTCGTCATTCAACATCGAACAATCACATCGAATTATTTACACTGTTCCCTTATGGATAACTTCGTAATGCGCTGTTCTCTTCTAACCGTTGCACAAATCAATTCCACTGTCAACAGCAATCGTAATCATTCTTATCAGTTCAAAAGACCTGTGACTATCACAGTTTTATGAGTGTATTATCGAAGCTGACAGCTATCTACTTATAACTTCACCAGCTTCACTAATTTATCAGCGATAACAAAATGACTGATTGCCATATCGTAATGAAGTGATTCTGTTTGAAAACTTCATTGTGTATTGATATTCTTATCGAATTTTAGATCATCGCGACTGTACACGGAGATTCTTGCTTTTTTTTAAGTAATCCCAATTTCAAGGCTGTCCTTTATAGTCCAGGAGGCATTATCTAATATATTCAGGTAAATATTATTCCCATAATATGATAAGTATTGTTGTCAACATTCGATAACTGAAACCATCGGTATATCATCCAGGTATGTATATGAACATTCGAAGATTTGAAATAATCACAAGTGAACGTGAAACAAATTCCTAACTCTCATCATTTACGATCCATTTATTTATGAGTATATTTACCTATATATGTGTGTGCAAATAGCCACTCACGAACTCATTAGCACTTCAATGAAATGACAAACAAATGACGACAATGTATTCTCGTGCATACCAATCACATTTCAATTTCAAGGTTACACAATTCGAGTCGAGTCTAACGGATAGCGAATGTCCGTTATATAATAATAGTATTGAGAGTCAAAATGAGATTGATTTTATTGTCACCGCGATTGATTGTTATCGTGATCAACGACAGTTTGCGTTGTGAATGTGTAATGTTCACCGATTATGCTGATTTATTGTTCACGCAACTGCATTGAATGTAGGTGTTGATTGTCATCTCATTTGGTTTGTAATCACCATCTTAACGGGTAAATCAGAACAGTCATGATAACAATGGTACTTTTATGGTCTCCTATTGATGTAGCCGGAAGAATATTGTATGAATTCTATTGTG